CAGTGTCTAATTTCCGCCCTGACCCAAGTGAGCGGAGGTGGTCTCTTGTTTAGGTTCCCTTGTTCAGTCATGCTTCGGCGAGCGAGGGACGCTGCAGACATATGTCACTGGCCTGTGTGGGGAGCACACGCAGTGTTCCAGTCACACTGGGTTTGCCCCCGCTCACGGGTGTGTGCTTTCCCCGTCTACACTGCTCAGGCTCTCGGCTGCTCTATATGGAGCGAGCCCTGCGTTGCGTGCGGTTCCAGTTTTCGGGTACTCCACAAAAGTGCAGACTCGGTTGGGCCTGCGTTTGTGCCTTCCCCCGGCCTGAGCGGCTCAGGCAGCCAGGAGCTTGATGGGCACACTCTCCCCGGTGCGGTGTGCCTTATCCCCTCCACGGTGCCTGCCTCAGTTTCCGCGCGCCCAGTCGGGTGCGCCTTTTGTCTGTTCTCGGGAGCTGGCCTCTAGCCGCGACCCTCCCAGCAGATGTCAACCAGCCAGAGTCTCAGGAAGTCTTTGGTTAGAAACTGGGAGCCTGTTTGCAGTTTGGTAGGGGTGCCGTCTCTGGGGCCGAGTTTGACCCTTTCCCCTCCCCGCTGCCTCCTGCCTCCAATGGGGGATGGGCTGGTCCGCAGCCGGCTAGCTCTTCTCTGGGATCGGTCAGTTCTTCCTTTGTTTGCGAACGGGCTGCAGGGTGTTCCGACTGATTGATTTTCTCTCTTCCTCTCGCTATCCCACAGTTTAAGTTGCTATCTCACGTTAGCGCCCTCAGATTGCCCTCGGGGCATTCAGGCCCGGTCCTTAGCCTAAGCAATGCCTCCTGCTCCTCTCGTTCGGCCCCCACTTGCTGGTTTTGGATGCAGGCGTCTGGGTTACTTTTCTGCTGGGAGTTGCTTTTAGGCATGTAATCTGTGGGTTTTATTTATTTTTCCTCCTAGTTAGGTTGCCCTCCGAAATTCGAAAACTTCTCCCAGACCCGCCAGTGAGAGGGTTTCCTGGTGTTTGGAAACTTCCTTTATTATGATTCCCTTCCTGGGACGGGTCTCCGTCCCTAGCTCTTTTGTCCCTAGCTCTTTTGTCTCTCTTTTTTATCTTTTATATTTTGTCCTACCTCCTTTTGAAGACGATGGGCTGTTTTTCTGGGCACCTGATGTCTTCTGCTAGTGGTCAGAAGTTGTTTTGTGAAGTTCGCTCAGGGTTCAAATGTTCTTTCGATGACTTTGTAGGGGAGAAAGTGGTCTCCCCGTCCTGTTCCTCCGCCATCTTAGCTCCTCCCCCAGAATTGATGCTTTTGAACTGTGGTGTTGGAGAAGACTCTTGAGAGTCCCTTGGACTGCAAGGAGATCCAACCAGTCCATCCTAAAGGGTTATCAGTCCTGGATAATCATTGAAAGGCCTGATGTTGAAGCTGAAACTCTAATACTTTGGCCACCTGATGCAAAGAACTGACTCATTGGAAAAGACTGATGCTGAGAAAGATTGAAGGCAAGAGGAAAAGGGGACGATAGAGGATGAGATGCTTGGATGGCATCACGGAGTCAGTGGACATGAGTTTGAGGAAACCCCGGGATTTGGTGATGGACAGAGAGGCCTGGCGTGCTGCAGTTCGTGGGGTCGCTAATAATTGGACACGACTGAGTGACTGAACTGTACTGAACTGAGTCTTATCTATATTAACACTCACAGAACATTTCTGCTGAAACTGATCCTGTCTTCCTGTGAATTTTTCTTTGACTTCTTTTAACATTCTGATGCATGCATGAGTGCTCTGTCATCCAACTGTTTGTGACCCCGTTAACTGTAGCCTGCTGGGCTCTTCTGTCCGTGGAATTTTCTAGGCAAAAATACTGGAGTGGGTTGCCATTTCCTTATTCAGAGGATCTTAACCCAGGGATTGAATCTGCTTCTCGTGCATTGCCAGGCAGATTCTTTACCACTGAACCACCAGGGAATCCCCAGTATTCTGATACATGTAATAAATCATTTGTATCTTTTCAGGCTCTAAACTTCATAGGATAGCTTTCTAACTGATTAAATCTTTGTATTTTTACTGAATGTGACAATATTTAACTCATGCAAAATTAGCCATAAATATGTGGTGGAAAAATAAAAGTAATAATTGGTTTATTTATTTCTGAAAGCAGTGTGTACAGTGTAGTTTGTTACAGTATCCCACTCTGACTTGTAAAACAAAAGTTATTTTTATAAATAAAAATATTGCGTAATTTGAAAATATAAAATTTTTTATTCATAATTATAAAATATTGTACATTTGAAATATAACTATTTTTAGAAGGTAGAATGCTAATTACTAATAGTCAACTGTTTTATCTAGTCTCTTAAGATGTGTGCTCAGTCACATCTGACTCTTTGCAGCCCCCTGGACTATAGCCCACCAGGCTCCTCTGTTCATAAGATTTTCCAGGCAAGAATACTGGAATGGGTTGCCATTTCCTACTCCAGGGGATCTTCCCAACCCAGGAATCAAACTCGCATTTCTTGCATCTTCTGCATTGGCAGGCAGATTCTTACAACTAGCACCACCTGGTATGTTAGGTTGAACCAAATGAAATTGCTCTTTGTTTAGTTAAAATCAGTCAGATATTGGCATGTTCATATGGTTCAACCTATTTGTGTAAAATTTTTCTCATAATCTTAGGATAAAATTCAGTATTTTTGTAATGTATAAACCAAGTCTTCTGCTTTGGATCTAGCTTTTCTGTTGCCTTGAATGTATTAGGTGCTCAATAAAGAAGTCATTGGATGCCTGAGAATATAAAACTGATAGTAAAAATTCACTGAATGCTGGAACGCATTAGACTGTCATTCAGTAACTGCCAATTGCCTGTGATAGGTAACATCCAATGTCAATTTTTAAAACCTTTTTCACACTTTAGCATCTGTGCAGGTCTTTCAGAAGTCCATGTGTAAAAATCATTTACCTTTTAAAATGAAATATAAATACTTCTCTTTGCATGTTACATTAAAATAGTTAAGGGTATTTCTAAAGAAGTAAATGACAGAACTACTGTCTTCACATAGTGATAAAAGTAGTAAGAGGAATAGCTTATTTGAAAAGCATAGTATTATAAAAACACTTTATTTAATATTTATACTTTTATGTTAGAACTTCATTAAAATATTATAATTAATCATTGTTTTTATTCCTCTAAAAGAGAATGTTTTAATGGCAATCATGCTAGGCAATATAATTTTAGTTTTATCTAATGCTTACAGAAGCTCTCTATGGTAGAGAATGGTATTTCTGTTTACATGATTTCTTTAGGAAACCTATATATCCCATTAAATTATAAGTTTTGAAGTATTAATATTTCTATTATTTTAATCTGGTCTCAAAGAAATAGAAGTTATTTCAAATCTTTAGTCTGATTTTCCTAATACTGGATAACAGGAGAAAATTTTAAAGTTTTTTTCATTTTAAACTTGGAAGATTAATATATATATTCATAAAAGCATATATAATGAGTCATAGGCAAACAATTAGATTCGAGCTAGTGTCCTTAATGGGAAAGCATAGTTTTAAAAATGTATAGTGTGTGTGTACACGTGCATGCATGCACGGATACACACAGTTCATGAAAATGAATATTTAAAGGACTTAGTAAACTATTTAAGCCCAACTCCTTAATGTGAAATCTGAATATTTTATTTAATAAACAACAAAATCTGACCAGGTGCTTTTTCCTAAATTACTAACTGTGGCAATAGGAGAGAAATGAAAGAAAAATTCATATATTTGCTAATTGCTTTTGCCTTCACTGAATGTTAACCTAGTTTGGTGTTTAATGTGATATATTTTTCACTTCACTTTTTTTCCCTTATATATATATTTTCTCTCCCATCATAAATCTCTCCATCCTCCCCTTTATTCAGTGTCGTGATATATTGTGTGTGTTTGATTTATTGAAATGATGCTGCACATCTGATGCTTGTCTCTTAGCTTCTATTATTTTCAAATTAATACAGACTGCCTTAGTGTTAAAAGTAGAGATGCATAAACAATATGAAAAAATTGGTCTTTCCTATGATTAAGTGCTTTCTAACTTGATGCTTAGTTGTATTTATCATTCCTTTTTATTTTTTTTAATAGATTGAAGCATACAAGACTTTCACAGCTAATACAACTACCTAGGAGATGGCATTAACTTCTGTTACTTGTCTCATGACTATTTAAAAAAAAAAACACCCCTATATTGGTTACTGTGGCTGCTGTAACCAGTTAACAAATTCATTGGCTTGAAACAACTCACCTTTATTATGTTACAGTTTTATAATTGAGAAATTGGAAATGGATTTCACATTCTAGAGTATGTAGGAGAAAATTTGTTTCCTTGCCCTTTTTAGCTTCTGGAGGCTGTCATGTTCCTTGGCTCATGGCCCTATTCCTCTGTCTTTGAAGCCAAAACAGTGGCTCCTTTTCTCACATGACCTTCTCTTCTGCCTTCCTTTTCTACGTTTAAGGACCCTTGTGATTACATTGGGCCCATCTGACTCTGTATTTTAAGATTGGGTGATTGACAGCCTCAGTTTCATCTGCTATCTTAATTCCCCTTTGACATGTAAGGTAACAAAATCACAAAGTTTGGCGGATTGCCCCATGGACATCTTTATGTGGATTGTTATTTTGCATACCACAATTCCTAAAATGGTAAGCTTTTTGTGATTCAGTGTTATGGAACTAGAATGGGAGGAAGGACATTATTTCACTTAATTCAGGCCCTTTCTTGACGTCTTAAGACATATAACAGAAGTTTATTCAGTTAAACCAACTCCCTAGCTTTTAACCAATGGAATTGTTTTCTTATTTTCCATCCGATCAGTTTGATAGTTTTTGAAAGTAAGTGTATCTACAAGTATATATATACTGTAGTGCTCAGAAATATATTCTTTTGACCTTTGCTTTTCACTTACTGCTATCATTTGATGTTACTTAGAAGTTATAAAAATATTTTCTTTGTCTCTGTATCTGCTTACCTTTTTAACCTTACTTTTCATAGGATCGGAAACTCCATGGCACAGCTCAGCAACTGCTCCAAGACAGCAAGACAAAAATAGAAGTGATACGAATGCAGATTCTTCAAGCAGTCCAGACCAATGAATTGGCTTTTGATAATGGTGATGGAACAGATATAAATTGTCATTTCTTACAATTATGGGCTTTTAGTATAGTACTAAATTAATTTTATATAGGAAAGAAGTGGTGGTTCAGAATTAAGGAGGAAAGAGGCATTCTGTTTTTTATCTTGAATTTTTATCTTTGAATTTTGGTGGCTAAAATATAAGATTCTGTATTTTAACATTGTGTCTGTTAAGTGTTTATTTACTTCAGTGTTTATTGATTTTTAAGTACTAACTTTTAATGTAAGAGTTACTTTCTTTTTCTTGAGTTTTAGTCACTGTGTATTAGAAAGTCAAATAAATGGTTCAATTTTTTTTTTTCCCTCCTTTAGCCAAACCTGTCATAAGTCCTCTTGAACTTCGAATGGAAGAATTAAGGCATCATTTTAGGATAGAGTTTGCAGTAGCAGAAGGTGCAAAGAATGTAATGAAATTACTTGGCTCAGGAAAAGTGACAGACAGAAAAGCACTTTCAGAGGTAATTTTAAATAAAAATTTTAACTTAATAAATATTCAAAGAATATAATTATTTAAATGATAATGTTGTCTTTTCCCTATGTAAGGCTCAAGCAAGATTTAATGAATCAAGTCAGAAGTTGGACCTTTTGAAGTATTCATTAGAGCAGAGATTAAATGAACTTCCCAAGAATCATCCCAAAAGCAGTATTATTATTGAGGAGCTTTCACTTGTTGCATCACCAACACTAAGTCCACGTCAAAGTATGATATCTACCCAAAACCAATATAGTACCCTGTCCAAACCAGCAGCACTAACAGGTATGTAGCATATATCTTCCTGATTTTTTTCATGCATTTTTAACCTATATTTGCTTCTGATTTAATAATGAATAAAAATGTGTTTATACAGTTGTTAAGTATTGTGGTAAGAGAGAATAGAATTTATTATTTTAACCATTTGGTTAATAATATTTAATAATATTTTAAAATAACCAGAATTCATAGGCATTTAGTATATCCACACTAATTGTACGACTCTAACCAGTTTCTGGTTCTGGGGTATTTTCATCACTCCAAAGGGAAACCCAGGACCCATTAAGTAGTCATTCCCAATTCCGCCTTTCCCCTCAACCCCTAGCAGTCAAAGTTGACTTCCTATTTCTATAAATTTGTCTATTATAGATGTTTCCTATAAATAGAATTTTATAATTTGTGACTTTCTTTGTCTGATTTCTTTCATTTTTCTGTACTCTTTTCAAGGTTCATTCTTGTTATTACATGTATCAATACTACATTCCTTTTTATAGCTAAATATTCTGTTGTACAGCTATATGTCTGGTTTTATTTATCTGTTCATTAATTGATGGATGTTTGGGTTATTTCCACCTTTTGACTACTGTGAATAGTGTTTCTATGAATTTTTGTTTGCAGGTTTTTGTTTGAACACCTATTTTCAGTTATTTCTAGAATATACCTAGATGTATAATTACCAGGTCATTTGGTAATTTTATGTTTATATTTTTGAGGGACCATCAAACTGTTTTCCATAGGGGCTTCATCATTTTACATTTCCAACAGCAAAGCATGAGGGTTCCAATTTCTCTGCATTCTCAACAACACTTGTTACAGTAAGTCTCCTAGATACAAACATGTTCATAAGTCCAATTGTTCATATGTCTAACAAAGTAAGCCTAGGTTACCAAACACAGTCAACTGTATAATGCTGCACTGTAACAGGTTTATAATGCTTTTCACACAAATAGTACATAAAAAACAAAACATTTCTAATCTTACAGTACCTTGAGAAGTACAGTCATACAGTACAACAGCTGGTTTACAGGGACTGGCATCAAGTGAATAGGCAAGAGAAGTTACTGAGTGGAGGAGGGGAAGGAGAGATGGTAGAGCTGAAGGGGTGTCAGCAGTAGGAGATGGAAGGCAAGCTGCTGTTTCACTCATGCCTCATGTTGATCGTACAGGTTCTTTGCTGGATTCAGTTCTGTCTAGCTCCTTGGAAAAATGATTCAGTAATGTTTGTTTATGCTCAGTCTCTCAGTCATGTCCAGATCTTTGTGGCCCCATCAGCTGTAGCCTGTCAGGCTCCTCTGTCCAAGCCAGTGTCTGGTTAGTAGCTCTTTTCTTTTCTCATGATAGATGACACCATAGCACGGGATTGCATTCTGAATGGCTGTTGCAACCTTTCGTGTACTGTTCTATGTTCAAGTCCTGGCCTCAAAAACTATTAGTGCCTCCTCACATCAAGAAAATCCACTTGCCGTTTCCTGCAGCATGAGTCTCTTCGGTTCTTCAGTTACTTCTTCTTGTCTCTTGTCTTCTTCTTGTCCTCTTGTCTCTGTTTGTCCTTTCTCTGGGCCCCCAATTCCAATAGGTCTTCATTAGTATGCTCCTCGTATGGAACAAGTTCGTGAAGTCATCCTCTTGCAGATGTAGCTTAAAATAATGATACTGTGCTACTGCACTCTTATAGTGTGTGCATGCTAAGTCACTTCAGTCATGTCCAACTCTTTGTGACCCTGTGGACTATAGCCCTCCAGGTTCCCCTGTCCATGAGATTCTCCAGGCAAGAATACTGGAGTGGTTTGCCATTCCCTCCTCCAGGGAATCTTCCCAACCCAGGGTTCGTACCCACATCTCCTGTGTTTCCCGCATTGGCAGTCAGATTCTTTACCACTAGTGCCACCTGGGAAGCCACTCTATACAGTCCAGGTGTAGAAAAATAACAGTCACTTGTAGAGGATGCATACACATGACAGTATACCCCAGACACATGAACTAACTTATATGAACATGATTGGACATGAACACATGTTCACATCTTTGAAAGTTCTCAACTTGAAGGTTCATTTGTGGGGAATTTACTGGATTTTTCCTTTTTTTTTTATTACTGCCATCTTAGCTTCATTTTTGAAAGTGTGGTAGTGGTAACAAAGTCTCCAACTATTTTTGTAGATTTACTTGTTTTTCCTCTCAGTTATGTAAGTTTTTGCTTCATATGTTTTCAGGCTCTGTTGTTCAGTGCATATATGTTTATAATTTTTATATCTTCTGAATGGATTGACTATTTTATCAAAATATAATATCCTTTTTCTACTGTAACAATTTTGGATTTAAAGTAGTCTATTTGATGTTAGTGCAGCCATTCTAGCTCTCTTTTGGTTACTGTTTACACTGAGTATCTTTTTCTGTTTTTTTCTCTTTCAACTGATACATGTCTTTGGCTCTAAAATGAGTCTATTTTAGACAGCATATAATTGGGTCAAGGTTTGGGTTTGTTTATTTTAATCCATTCTGTCAGTCTCTGCCTTTATTTTGAACAGTTTAATCTGTATATGTTTAAGATAATTACTGGTAAGGTGCAATGCAATTCTGATGCTGACTACCCAGAGTTAGGTTAAATTTCATAGGTTTATGTCACACTCCCCCACAAGACTGCCTTCATTTCAGACACAAGCTTCAAGCTTGTGGTTTCCCCAACCACTCACACTTCTGACCAACTGGCTACAAATTTAGGGGTTCCTACTGATGCTGAAGCTGAAACTCCAATACTTTGGCCACCTCACGTGAAGAGTTGACTCACTGGAAAAGACCCTGATGCTGGGAGGGATTGGGGGCAGGAGGAGAAGGGGATGACAGAGGATGAAATGGCTGGATGGCATCACCGACTCGATGCACATGAGTTTGAGTAAACTCCATGAGTTGGTGATGGACAGGGAGGCCCGGCGTGCTGCAATTCATGGGGTCGCAAAGAGTCAGACACGACTGAGTGACTGAACTACCTACCTACCTACCACCTCAGACAAAGTAATTCTATGGAACAAGTCATAGAATCAGGAAAGCTCTGTATTTATAAGTAAAGTTTTATTATAAAGGCTACAAATTAAAACCAAAGAAGAGACACTTAGGGAGAGATCTGGCAGTTCCCCTGCTGTCAGTATGCATCACCCTCTCAGAACATCAATTTCTGTTTTTAGCCAGTAATCTCACTTTAGCTGTGAGTATTCAGAGTTTTCATTGTGGCTTTATTAGTGGGTTGGCCAAAAGTTTTGTTTGGTTTTTTCCATAAGATGGCTGTAGTAGCACTTAATTGTCTTTAACTTCACTGGAAAAAATTTTGTTAGATTGTATTGTGACAGCTGTCATATAAGCACACATTTTTTAAAAACTTGTCAAAATTAATGAATTTTTGTGTAGCCATTTTAATATTGAAGGGGTCAGGAAAGAAGTAACATTTCAGCATGTTATGCTTTATATTTTCAAGAAAGGTAAAAATAACAAATGAAACACAAAAAAGAAAAAAATTTGTGCAGTATATGGAGAAGGTGCTGTGACTGATCGAATGTGTTAAAAGTGTTTTGATAAATTTTGTGCTGGAGATTTCTCACTGGATGATGCTACATGGTGGGGTAGACCAGTTGAAGTTAATAGCAATCAAATCAATACATGGTTTGAGATCAGTCAATAGTATTTTATGCAGGAGACAGCCAACATACTCAAAATATCCAAATCAAGCATTGACAATCATTTCCACCAGTTTAGTTATGTTAATCACTTTGATGTTTGGGTTCCACATAAATTAAGCCTTCTGGACTGTATTTCTGCATGCAGTTCTTTACTTAAATATAACAAAAACGTTCTGTTTTTAAAACAAATTGTGATGGGCAATGAAAAGTGGATACTGTACAATAATATGGAATGGAAGAGATCATGGAACAAGTGAAATGAGCCACCACTAACCACACTAGAGGCCAGTCTTCCTCAAAAGAAGATGATATTGTATAAATGGTAGGATTGAACTCTTTCTAGAAAACCAAACATTTAATTCCATCAAGTACTGCTCTCAGTTAGACCAAGTGAAGGCAGCACTCAATGAAAAGCATCCAGAATTAGTCAACAGAAAATGCATTATCTTCCATCAGGATAGCCTAAGACCACATGTGTCTTTGATGACCAGGCAAAAGCTGTTACAGCTTGGCTGGGAAGTTCTGATTCATCTGCCATATTCCTCAGACATTGCACCTTCAGATGTCCATTTATTTCAGTCTTTACAAAATTCTCTTAATGGAAAAAATTTCAATTCCCTAGAAGACTGTAAAAGACATCTGGCACAATTCTTTGCTCAAAAAGATAAAAAATTTTGGAAAGATGGAATTATGAAGTTGACTGAAAATTGGCACAAGGTGGTAAAACAAAACAGTGAATATGTTGTTGAGTGAAGTTCTTGATGAAAATGAAAAATGTGTCTTTTATTTTTACTTAAAAAAAAACAAAGGAACTCTTGACCAACCTAATACATAGGAGTGAGTGAGTGAATCATTGGCCACTTGACTGAAATCAGTCTCCAGGCCCCGACCTTTTCCAAAAGACCATAGTTCTGACTGATAGGTGGGTCAAAACATGAGCCCCCTAACCATATGTTGTTTTTATAGCCAGCCCCCATTCTGGAACTGTGTACAGGCCTACTGTGAGTCATTTTGTTAGCCTAAACTCAACATGTGGTCTGAGGAGTCCACCATGAATAAAAAAGATACTGCTGTTACTAGGGAACTGACAAGGGTTCAGAAGATCCTTCTTAAGAACCAGGGAAATAAACCAGCCAAATTCATTATTATGGAACAAAAAGGCTTACTTCTACCATTTTGCTATTTGTTTTTTGTAAGTCTGCATCTTTTTTGGGAATTCTTTTGCTTTCTTTTATGTTTGATTGAATTTTTCTGGTTTACCTTTATTTTATTCTTTCCTTGACTTCTTTTCTGTATATTTAAAAATTACTCTTAGTGGTTACTCTAATGATTACAGTT